GCCGGGAAACTGCCAGCGGCCAGCCCAAGAAGCCAGAGACAGCTTGTAGCGTCAGGAGCAGCTGCGCTCAACGCAGGCTTGGACTAAGAGTGGTTAGCTACAGCGTGCAACGCTTGCAACGGTAACATACCTAATCCTGGCACGTGCAGGCAGTGCACAGCCCTGATGCTGAGAAGGAGGCTGCGATTGTTGGACCAGTCCAGTCATGACGGTTCGTTTGGTATGTGTGTGTGTGTGACCACAGTCGCAAGGCGCTGAAGAAAGAGCATCAGGAGCTGCGTAAGGTCCAAGTAGTTTCTGCCCGTCTTGACACTTGGGTGCCCTTGCTCCACATGTCCGAGGTCATGAAGCTGCGCAGCAGATTTGGTGCCTGGGTCTGTGCCTACGCCTTAACTGTCGCTACCCGAACATATTCTCATGGTACCCTGCCAGTGCAAGCACTGTGCTGCCAGGAGAGGCACATGGCGGAGAGTGATGATGAGGCCACCTGTGGCACTGGCACGAAGAGAAGCTAGCTGTGCCTTGATGTTGTTCCATTCCTTCAACAAACACCTTTGGGGTCTAAGTGTTGATTGCAGTGGCAGAGTGACAAGCATGACTCCTGCACGCACCAGTTACACGTCATCTCCAGGGCCTTTTGGTCTTCTGGCAGCCCGATCAGTCTACCTTCGCAAGCCTGCTAGCCTCACAGATAGAGCGGTGAGATTGGCAGGTCCGTGGCAATCATTGGTTGATTGGTCCCACCATCCTTCATTTCAAGCATATTCCTCAGCATGCTTGGCACAGGAAACGGATGCCGAGAAAGAGGATACCAACTGAGCCGCCCAGCGGTCATCATCTGCTTAGTTCTTTGTCGTTCTTTGGCTTTCTTGCCATGAGTACAGGTCACACGTCTTAATATTCCGTAAGTACTCGTCCAGTGTGTCTATGACACTGATGCTGGGCTTGCTGTGCTAGGCAGCCTTGTCGTGAACAAATCGAGTTGCAAGAACACAGGAGCTCCGGCGTCAGATGGCAGAGCTTTCTGTTAAGCTTCGTGCAGCGTGAACCTGAGAGTCTAAAGCAAATGCAAGATACGATCTGATTTGCCCTGGTGTCTGTCTCGCAGACAGCCGGGCTGAGGCCCAGGCGGTCGTTGGCGCTGTTTCCAGCGAGTCCGATGCATCCCCAAGGAGAAGGCAGAGAGGGAAGCAAAGAGGGCAGGGCTTCAAGGGCTTCAGCCGAGGAATTTCCCACATGCTCAGAGAAGCAGCTGTTGTCTCTGCGAACTTCAGGTGATGGCGGCCGTCATGTAAGCTCACGAAACATGTGTCTATTGACTGCGGGCAGGTTGCCAGGACCAAGTGTCCGGCACCGGCTCTGAGCTGGAGCCAAATATTTTTTTGTGCCTTGAGCATGACAAGTCACCTTCAGTAGCGCTGCGGCCTGAAATTGCGCGCGCCATGAGAATCAATTCAGTTTACTGATGTATAGGTGGCTCAAAAGTGGGCGCAACGCCTGCAAAGAACAGGCAGCACTTCTTGATGTTTCTCTCGTGCACTTGCAAGCCTGGAGTATGTTCCATGAACTGCTATCTGCATTTGCCGCACATGTGCAGACCGGCGCTGAGTGTCCTGAGCCATAAAAGTCTCCAGCATGGCCGCCTTGCATTCACCTTGAGCCGAATAGAGCAAGTGGAATTTAGACAGTTTTGTCACTGACATTCCACGTTCCACAATACCATGTCAGAAAGATGATGCTCAGCTGCAGTCGGTGTGGTGCGGCCAAGAGATAACTGCCTAGCATGCGCAGCAATGGTCATCCTTGGCCAGAATTCTGTCTGCCTGACCAGTGTGATGCCCCGTGGCGCAATGTGGCGCGCACATGCTGCGGACAGAAGTTGTTTAAGACCGACCCCAGGACACCATTGGGCCATGATGTCTTCCATAAACTCAGATGCTTCGCTCACGGCCTGTCGACACTTATGAATTGATTACTTGGCATGTTGATGTATTGCATGGCTGCTTCTCTGGCTGAGCCTAAGCTGCAACAACCATACTGGCGAATCTGCCGTTCGAGTCAGTGACAGATGAATGGATAGTGCATACGCAGCAACGACAGGATTCCAGCACTTCAGATGGCATTAGCAACAAATGATCAGAAACTAGAGCTGATGACACAAGAGTCGTTCACGCCTCATGACCGCTCATTGTTTCTGTGACATGCAAACACGACTTTCTGTGCATTCTTCTGTTGTAGGCAGGCGCGTCGCAATCCAGGGCTTAAATGTGTGGTTCCCTCCGTGGATTGTCTGATTGATGCTATGACTTGGCTGCTAGGACAGTTCTAAGACCTCTCAACCCAAGTGGAGCGTTCGAATAAAGCGTAGACTGCGTACTTTGCGGAGAAGATGCACAGTCAATTCCCGCTGCAAGCTCACGCGCAATGTCACAGTCTCAGACAAGGCTTTTAAATGAGCTAAGCAATCTGTCAAGCTCGCTTGACTCAGTTCTGAATTTTCTTGGTTCTCGAAAACACATCCCCAGGTCATTGCAAAAGATATGGACGTGCTTCAAGGGATTTGGCCAGCTGACCAGGTGCCTTGGCTCGGGAATACCGACACTTCGCTCATTTCGGTCGAGCGAAAAGGGTGACATGGGGCTGGAGTCAATTATGTTGAGCTAAGGTCCTCAGAAGAAATTCACCTCGAAGCTAAGAGTGAAGTCAGGGCCACATGGATGCACGTACTTGATGCTCATTGGATCTTTCCTTCCATGCTAGGTAGTTCAGAGTGGTGTGTGGCAAGCAAGCATTGACCAGATCATCAATGAGGCCGCTCTGCGCATGATTTCTTAAGACCGATCCTGTCTTTAGTAGTTTCTTGGTGGTTGCCTGCGCAGTTCAGCTTTCTGTCTCGACGCGTCGTGCACACAACAGATGTGTGTATGGAAAAGCTGCGACTTTTTTCTCCAGCATTGGGGGTCGAAACCCAGTCGCGCAAAAGACAAGTTTGGTCCTTCACGCAGATGCAGGTTCTGCTGACAGAGGTGGACAAGCTGCAGGCGACCTTTAACCAACATTTGAGGGAATATGAGGCTGGAGATGCCTGGAATCTTCCTCCTCTCTAAGGGAGCTAAGTGTGTTCTGTTTCTTCACTTCACGAGGTCGCCCTGTCGCAGCTTCGTCCTGAAAATGGGCACTCGCGAACGCCAGGGGCTGTGTGTGAATTGCATGTCCACCTCTTCGGAGCAGGCCCAAAGCATCCCACAGCACTCGCCCCCTTGTTCCTCTTGACCAAGGTGGGCGAGGCAGGACGTTGAGCTTCTCAGGCAGCAGGCAGGACCTGCTAGGGCTCTTTCTACTGGTGTCACCTGAAAGCGCGGACTGCTTCAGGTGAACTTGATGGAGCGACAGCGACGGCAACGTAATCTCGAAGTTGGCAAGCTTCGGAAGGTGCAAGGGCGTCCCATCAACGTCAGCACCCATTCATTCTGCTTGTGGCTGCGGAAGGCAATGAAGGAAGTGCGAAATGCTCTTTTCACAGAATCACCTGCCGAAGCTCAGGACCCTTGTGATGCAAAGTTTTCTGCTGTGCGGTTTGTGTGCAACATGGTAGAAACCCATTGTGAGGCATGAGGGTTTTGCGTACAGTCCCAGCATGGTGATCGGGCTGACATCAAGACCACTTCGCCCAGGGACACTTGGCTGCCAAGCAGCTTCTGGATGAGGCCTGCTTTGCATGCACGACGAAGTTGAGATGGCAACCCCTGCAGGTACGCACAGAGCGTGAACGCCGCCTAGCTGAAAAACATTATTTGGAGGACAAAGCCGCTGTGCAGCAAACATGGCATTGGCAAGCCGCAGCCACGATGCACATAATTCCAGCATTTTGTAGGCAGCATTGCCCACATTACACGACAAGTGGGGCAGCCGCGCTCTGTGAAACCGTTCCTGAAGTGCTCAGCGCATCAAGTTTAAAGAGCAGTGGCAGCGGATGCTGTCAGATCTGTGAGGATCAAATCAAAAAGCTGAAGAATGAGATAAAGGATCTCCGCTGTTGGCCGTACGTGAGCGTGCGAGTTACATTGGGTCTGATTTTCCTGCAGTCCTTGCAAGAGGAGCTGGAGGAACAACAAACTGCTACTCCTGCCTTGGACCATGAGAAGGAGAAACTGAAAGCTTCGGTGGGGCACCAAATGGCACCAAACTCCTGCGGATGAGGTTTGTCAGTGCCACTGCAATTAGGAGGAATTGCCAGTGCTGTATGATCTTGGTTTTGCATCATGTTTACAGATATTTGCTATAAATTTGAAGTGGGATAGCCTCACAGGAGGTTAGGCACTTTAGTCGGTACTCTCCCAACACTCCCCTGTACTCCCGAACACTCTCGAGGCAGCACCTGCCCTTGCGGAGCCACCCCCGCTGAAGGACATGCTCATTCCAGTAGTGGTCGCACAGACGTTGCCGCAATCGCAAAAACCACAAGTCACGCTAACAGATTGGCCTCTGCATACTGAATAAGCCTTGCTGCAGGGCCTGACATAATTATCGGCTTTTTCAAAGCAACACGTGAGGCACCGGCTCAGGGCTCAATGCTTGCCTACTCGTTGTGCGGGCGAACAACGGAGATGGGGAGGGCCAGACTTAGACCTAGCTGCGCTCGCTCCTTGTCCTTGATGCCCGGTTTTAACTGACTATGCGCCCAAAACGGCAAGATGTCGGACTCGTTCGGACTGAGAACGTATTCAGGGTCTGATTTCTGCAGCAGCCGACTCGCCGCAGCACTGTCTTGATGTCGACAAACCGAAGGGTGCCGTTGTGAAGGGCAAACCAAGTTTAGGATTCCCAGCTGCAGAAGCAAACAGACCTGTTCGCAAGAGGGGGGGCTGCTTCCAAAAACAGAATGACGATTTGTTTTCAACTGCATAAAGATTCTTTTGGGGATTCGGCTTGGCTGGGCTTGGCTCAACTTCAGTGTCACCTGACCGTCTATTCATCGGTTCGAGGTCAGACAGCTTAAGATGTCGATCGAGTCAAAGGACCGATATGCATGTTGGGTGACGACCTGAGAATGCCCTGCGTGCACCAGTCACTGGTCTCCTTCGTGCATTGCATTTTTTGCGACGGCAAGCCAACTGCAGGTATGCAATCGTGCGCATGAACGTCAAGAGGAGTCTGGTGACGGCTCAGAAACCGGCGAGGCGCGAAGCCCGCACGTAGCCAGCATGTAGCCGGCATGCAGCTGCAGCATGCTGCAGCATGCTGCCGCTGCAAAGCTTCATGCGCCCTCAGCTTGAGAGACGGCTGGGTTTTGGTCCTTGAGCTGCATGTGGTCGCATTCGGGTTCTTGGCATGGCGCCAAAATGGGTTACACAACAGGACTCTGACCATCATGACGAGTGCGCCATGATGCGCAGGCAGGGGCATTTCGTCTTCTTCCATGCGTGTAGAACGCTGCAATAACGCAGCGCATGCAGCGCCTTGAATTCTGCTTGTGGAAGATCGCGCATGTCTGCTACAGGCGCCTGCTTGAAATGGAGGAGGAGATTCGCGAGCTAACTGGCGAACAAGGTAAGGCAAGGGAATGGAGCCCTTCGTTCTTTTGCGCATAGATGATGAATGATGGTGACAAGGTGCGGCCAGCTCTGTCCACCAGCCAGCTCTTTGGACAGCAATGCCTTGCCATGCTACGAAGCCGTGTTTTCTGCATCTGCGGCGAAGGCCAGCCGAACCCAGCCTGCATCCAAGCATGATGTTTTTTTTCGGGTTCGCAAGCTGCTGCTGCCAAGTCTGCTTCGAAGTAGCAGCTATCGGCATGTTCAGACAAGTTGTGAACACTGCATGCGTCCACAGCGATTGTTGGGTCTGTCGATGCTTTGGCAAGGGAAATGGGGGCAGGCAAGGCAAGGAGGTCGCTCATCTTACGTCTGGGCACTGAGGCTTCTGTTGGATTGGCACGTAGAGGAAGCTTCTTGCAGAAAGTGGATAGTGCTGAGATGTGCTGAGGCCCGGTGCCAGGCTGTCCTTGGAGCCCCCAAGCGTGATGGAGTCCTTGCTCAGCCACCTGCTCAATCGCTCCAGCTTTGGTCGCTCCAGCTTTGTTTTGAATTCTGCCGTGGTCTCAGAGGTCCTGCCTCCACTCTGCGGTCTGCTCGGGATCGTGTGCGCTTTGGCCGAAGTTCACTGGATTCTCTTCGAACCCATACGAACCCTCAAAGTGGCGAAGCTTTGTTTTTCCCCGCGACTGCATTGACTTGATGCTAAGCAGTGGCCACCATGACCTCAGCCAGAGAATGACAGCTTGCAAGCATGAGAGAGGGGACGTTCTTCTGATTCACGTCTCAAGTTACTACTATCCAAGATTATCCAAGGCCCACTCCTTGGGCACAGGTGCCTGTTTTGTGTGTGCGCAGCGAGCAGTACAGCAGCATCCCCTGAAGTGCACAGGCGTCTTCTGCAGGAGGAGAGGCTAGCTTTGCATTGCATAGTTTCTTCTAAATTCCAGCCTGGAACCGCCAGCATGTAGAGGCTTCAGTGCAGTTCTCAGATTCTGTCACAGCAGTCACTTCGCTCGAAATCCCGGAGAATGTTCCAGAGGCCAGTTGTCAGATGTTGTCAGCACTCGTAAGATGCAGTAGGCAAGTATTTGAACAGCACAGCTGAAGAATTCGAAGAACTTGACAGGTTGGCAACAGGTCTGTGCGTGACCGGATCGCAACTCCATACGTAGACTCCACCACAGCAGACTCCTCTGAGGCAGATGCATTGAACAGTCCAATCGCTCACGGACTTGCCTTCTGCACTGCATCACTTAAGATGCCATCCGGAGGAACGGCGAGTACTGCTTGCACCAGCCTTGTCAACTGTTGAGGACCTACAAATGCAGACAAGGATGGACACCAAAATTTACCTAGCTGCAGCCAGGAGTTTGAGGCGGAGAGCTCCAGGGAGCAACTTCGTTCAAGCCGGGATAGGACAGTGGAGAAATGGAAAGATGCGAAACACGATGCGAAACTTCTTCAAAGTTTGGATCAGGATGCCAACTCCTCATGTCAGTTCAGAGGTGATCGAGGACTGTGCCCCTGTCGCCTTGTAGTACATGGGGTGGCCGTCAAGTTTGTGGCACCGTATGACACCCTCTGGGTTCCCCTTACGGGCGGTCAAGAAAAAATGGGTGGTCCAACAAAGGGCACAATTTGACAAGAGCTCTTGCCAGGAGACTTTCGCTTCGTCAGGGAAGACTGTTCGAATTTTCCCAGCTGCTGACATGGAAGCGTAGCCCTTAGCCTTATGGATCTTGATGTGCTTGACTTGGGAGCTGATTGATTCTATCACATGAGATCGCCTCACCATCTTTCAGCTTGCTCAGCCAGGCCATCCCAGCAACTGGCAAGAGAAGGCCAAGCCGCGAACGGCAAGCCACGCCTTTCGTGAAGGATTGCTGCACATGTTCTGTATGTTGGCAATGATAATATGCAAAT